ATTTTATGTCGTGTTCATCTCTCTTTGCAAGGCATCACACCCGCTCGAGAATTTAAAGTAAAGGAATGAATAATGAGAGTGGTAGGAAATTAAAGCTAATGTCAACAAGAGTAAATACATTTCCACCAAAAAAAAAAAAACAAGAGTAAATACACATAAATATTTCACGCCATTGGTGCCATTGTCATGTGATCCCTGCTTGCTCCTTGCTTTCCAACATTACGTTTCAACTTTTCCCGTGATTGATATAACTGGAATTATTACGAAAGATATTATGAATTATAACGAAAGTCAACTCAAAAAATTTCAAACTAGTAGTTGAAAATTTAAATCATAGAAAAGTAAAAGCAAACCCAAGAGCCTGGCCTCTTTTTTTTTTTTGGAACACTTAACAATTTGGAGTAAGGAGAAAGGGGATGTTAGCATGATATTACTATAATTTGAATTTTGATACCAATTAAGACATTAGATGCATTAATCAACTGACTTACAAAAATTAATGCTTAAAAGTTTGGTTATGATTATTGCTATTATCAATTTTGTTAAGTTATTAAAATTGTCAAAATTTTAGTATTTTAATTTGATTATTAAAAATAAATGACAATTAATAAAATAATTAATATTTATTGTTTAACATTAAAATCAATTTATAAACACAATTTTTGAACATTATATCTAATAATTTAAGAAAAATCTATAAATTAATAAAATTATAAGTAAAATTAATAATTTTAACAAAAACTAAAACTGGCCATAACCTCAACCCAATAGTCCCCCCCCTGTTTCATTTTTTGTTTTTTTTTAAAAAAAAAATTAGAAAAGAGTTCCACCCCTCTTTGATGCAAGGTAAAAAAATGGGTTCAGTCTCTTATGGGCTGGACTGGGCCTTTTGACCTTCAGGGCTCAATCAACCCCAAACTGGCCGACGATCCAATAAAACAAAATCGGTACCCTAGACCCAATTGCATGGAGAAGGAGAACCAGAGAACCGAACTGGCCCATTAGGGTCGGTTCAGTTGCAGCTCGCCGCCACGGCAAGCGCGTAATCTCCATTCTGCACTAAGCATGGTTTCAAAGCGCACTCAAAAACAGCAGTTGCAGCATCTCCTCCTTCTCACATGGTCAAGACGCCGCCATTATCTTCTTGCCTACCGATTGCTTCCATTACCAGGTAACTCTTTCAGCATTATAATGGTATATATTCCGCTGTGGATGCTGGATGTTTTACTCTTTAAATCTTTCAGGAGATTCTTCTCCTGCAAAATGAGCGCGGCGAGTTCTCCGGTAATCCCCAAATTCGTCTCCGTTGAAGGCGCCGATATTCACTCTAGATGCAAGCCCGATGGTATGTCTTCTTTCTTTCTTAAATTGTTAGTTTCCGAGACAATCTTTCTGCTGCCTTTAATTTAATCCCTTTTTTTTTCAGGCATCAGATTCAGGCTTGCCTCGTATAACATTTTGGCTCAGGTATGAAATACTGCAAGATTCATTGCTGAAATGGAATGTTATTTAATTATATAAAATGAATTTCGTTGGATTATGGTTGTAGATTTATGTGAAGAGTTCTTATTTTCCGCATTCTCCATCTCCATGCCTCAGGTGAATCTCATTCTCTATGTTCTTTCCAAGCTGACATGTAATTTTGATTGTTAAATTTTATGTATCCTGATGGTGTACTCCTTACAGATGGAAGGCTCGTTCCGAGGCAATATTAACCGTTCTTAAAAATCTTGGTGTTGACTTCCTTTGCCTTCAGGTTTTTTTTTTCCATTTTTATCTTTTATTTAGTGCTTTCTCTTTGCAAAGTAGTGTGATTGTTGTGATATACGTTGCTAAAACTTATCAGGAAGTAGATGAGTATGATTCGTTTTACAAAAGAAATATGGAAGGCCTTGGATATTCTAGTATTTATATTCAGAGAAGTGGGAAGAAGCGTGACGGATGTGGAATTTTTTATAAGCATGAGCGGTATGTTGAAGCGTTTTTCATTTTAAAAGTTCCCTAATTCAATATAGATGTAGATGGCAATATATATATATATATATATGTTACGTGGATAATGGAAGCGGTTCTTCATTTGAATTACTAAGAAAGATTTTCAATCATATGGT